ACTGTCCGTGACTGGAGCTGGAGGACAGAGGAGCCCTTCCCGTTGCCGGCGCTAGCCTGGTCTCTTGGAATTACTTCGCTCAAGTAAGTGTGTGTAAGCGGCCGAGGAAGGACTTGAGGATGTATTGTGTGCAGTGTTCCCGCGATGCCCTCCTTCTCCTCGGTGCCCCCGCCGTGGCCAGGGTGGCGGGAAAGAATAACCTTGTCTGCTTCCTCCTTCTGGCCTGAACTGAACGTGGGCCTTGAGTAAAACTTGAGACCTGGGCGCGGTCTGCCGCCTAGCTGGACCCTAGCCTGTTTGTCGCTGCTGGTGGTGGCGCCAAATCTCCGCCCGGCGTAGAAAAGAAAGCTGGTTTCTGTTCTTGCGGACTGTATTCTCTGATTCCCAGAGTTGGTGTGCCTGGCCTGCTGTTGTATGGAGTTCATAGGCCAGCATCGGAAGTAGTGTGAGATGGAAGGGTTGGCCGCAGGGAGAGGAGGGGGACAGGCTTAGTAACTGTTTTCCAGGGAATCGAGTGGAGGCACAAGCTTTAGCAGAGCGGAAACGGCTTGGAAGCCCGGAGATACGAGTTCGAATCCCAGCTGATTCTGTATCTTACCAGCGATGTAGCTGTAGGCAATTTACTTGATCTCTTTTTAAAGCTCACTTTTTAAAACTTAATTTAGAAAGAATAATTTGTATCTCACTTGACTTTTAAAATAATTAAGTGACGCTAATGTTTTCAATATTGAGCGCTTAGTGAAGAAGGGGACTCCAATCCAGAATAGAAAAGGATTTTTAAAAAAATATTTTTATTGATTGCAGAGAGGAAGGGAGAGAGAGAGAGAATCATTGATCGGCCGCCTCCTGCCCGCCCACACGAGGGATCGCGCCCGCAGCCGGGGCATGTGCCCTGACCGGGAATCAAACCGTGAGCTCCCGGTTCATAGGTCGTCGCTCAGCCACGCCTGCCGGGCAAAGGACAATTTTGTTCAGTTAGGTCGGTTTTCCTGGAAAGTTAGTTTCTGTCTGAAATGTACAACTTTATTAATTAAACAAAGAAGTAAGAACTCATCATCTTTAGACTTTTC